TTATTCAGACATTGAAAGAGTGTTGCATGCTATATTACTCTGCATTTACATTGGAATAAACGTACATTATGGATACTGGAATAATAGCCAATCAAAGATTTCATCGAACCGATGTTAAGAATGAATGAAGAGAATTAATCTTTTTGGGCACAAGTCAATTATAATAAAATAAATTTAAATACAATGTTATATATTTAAAATTTAAAACATATCATATTTGACGTAAAAATGGAGTATTGCATTAAGAGTATGGTATTGGAATAAACGCAAATCATATGAGATATAATAGACATTCAAACAATGACTAACCAATTATTGCCAAACTCGGCATTAAAAATAAACTATTTTTTTTTAATGAACTAATATAGTAATTAATTTAAATACAACGCCCTCCTCTTAAAGCATGTTATACTCGATGGTAAAAATAAAAAATGTATGTAGTTGCTCGCACATTCCTATCTAAAGATGACGATTCAATTATTGACAGTTGATTTAATGAGATTATTTTAATCATAATAGACATTCAAACAATGACTAACCAATTATTGCCAAACTCTGCATTAAAAATAAACTATTTTTTTTAATGAACTAATATAGTGTTTAATTTAAATACAACGCCCTCCTCTTAAAGCATGTTATACTCGATGGTAAAAATAAAAAATGTATGTAGTTGCTCGCACATTCCTATCTAAAGATGACGATTCAATTATTGACAGTTGATTTAATGAGATTATTTTAATAATGGCTATCTCTGGGATGATCTTAATAAGAAATTTGCATGATTCGATAGTATATTGACGTGCACTCGCAGAAAGGTTTTTATATAATCGTGAGGTAGCATCGTTTCTCCTCTCTTCTCTCTCTCTCTCTCTCTCTCTCGTCCATCTTTCGCCATCTCGCTCTCTTTCACCCACAGTTGGAAAGAGGGTCCGGCGACGAGGGACACAGGGTGCAGGGGGCAGAGTGTCGAGGAGACGGAGTGGTTGGAGGGGATCGGGGGATGCTTCGGCGAAGAAGAGTGGAGAGAACCATGAGAGTAAGCCGCTTATCAGGGTGGCAGCAGGCAGTATAGGTCCAACCGACGCAGATAGGTGGGTTTCCATGGAAACACGGATCTGTCCGTTGGGTCCCTACGTACTCTACGTCCAGCGGCTGCCTCTATCCGTTGTAGGCGTATCCGCGCTACACGAAAAGCCGCCGAACGAGAGAGGAACGACGCGGTGATGCCGCGAGGTTGGAGAACAGCACGGTGGAGACGGGAATAGAAACAAGAGAAAAGAGAGAATATCGCGGGAGAATGATAGAGCGCGACGGCTCTCGTGCCGCCGGAGAGACTTCGCTTTTATCATCCGTTTGTGAAGCAAACTCGCCTCGATTCATAGCCACGGCCACGAAGCCGCCATTTGCCCCTCTGATCTCGCATATCCTCGGTATTTTTGCGATCCGCGCAACATATACATATCGTATGACGGTTTGGGAGAAGCTTTTATTTTTCCTCGCAGATATCTCTCTGCAGACATTGAAGTGTTTTAATCTCTGTCATCTCAACCCTCGCGCGCGCGGGAATCGATAATTAGGTTGCGAAGCTACTGAAAGATATAACGGCTCCCTTCCTCGAATTAATTCACGCGACGATGTTCGTCAATGACGACGCGTGGACGAAAAGGGCGATTTCGTGTCGTTTGATACGCGTCGCGCGTCGATGTTTATTTTGTTATGCAATGCCGTGCAGGGGCGGCGGGGGTACGATCGCTCTCTCTTCCCTCTTCTCCGCGGTCGGCGAAAGAGCGATAGCTTCGGGCAGGGAACTCGCCGAGGTGGCAGGAAGGGGTGCAAACGTAGGATCTCTCCCCAGGACTCGTGGCATGCAGCGGAATACGTGGGAATCGCGTCACATGGCCTCCGCCCTTTTCCCATCCGAACTACTCTATTTGTTGTTGCAGAGAAATTGCCCGTCCACTTAACTTCCTCCTGCTCGTTCGCGGTGGCGCGGCGCATGAATAAAGACACCGTTGTCGATGATTTCCTTCTGCCGATTGTCAATCGAGGGGTAAGGACGAAACAAGTGATTTTGATCCCGGGGCTCCTACGCGACATGCGCTTCTCGAAGCCGTGAGGCATAATGTATGAGATTAAAAAAATACATTTCGTCATGATTGAAAGGAGCTTACACGGCGGAGCAAAATATTCGCTCCAAATATTTTATACGTCGAAATATATACGCTTGATCGCTCTTACGAATTTTTGTAAAAATCTCATTTGAAATTTCTATGACAAATTTTTTACCCATTTAAAAACCGATTGATAACAAAAAAATTAAGTACTAGAGATCTATATCTATGACTTTTCATGTCTCAACGTTAAAATCATTCCGAGAGAATATGCTTGCGCGATACAATTTATAAACTCAATGCCTCCGAATTTTAAATCAAATGTCGCGAATATTGCCACTGCGAAAAGCCAGCGCGCTCTTCGCCGGTGGGCGCGCTTGTCAGTTCGGTACAATTCCAATCACTCAATTAGGCGTCAGGTTAAGGGCGACACGTGGCGCGGACACGTGCTGTATATACTCGTCGTTACCAAGTGGCCGCGAAACGACGAAACGAGAGAGCCGCTTCTATGGCGGCGCGTGTCACGGCTAAATTGAGTAGGCGGGTGTGGAGAGGCCAAACACAAATCTAGACCTAATTGTAAGACAAACACTCGAGGCTGAGTGAAATGTCGCGTACGACGAGACATCGACACTCGCTCTCGAAAATCTCGCTTCTTCTCGTCGTCTCTTTCGTTTCGTTCGCGTCTTTTTACCGCGATGTCCTACCGGAATTATGCCTTTTATTATTGAAACAGCGAAATCCATTTCGCGTTTATATCCAGAGATTTCCCTTATACTTGCTAAGAATTTTTTGCAAACATCGTTACTTCGACGAGTTCTTATACGCGGATTTTGTCTTCACGCGTAGAAAATTGATAGAAAGAGGCACACAAAGTTTTTATCTTTTAATCATGCTTCTCAAAAGTATTTATACACACAACATATATACATATACATATACTCGCCATCGTTACTTGATAAGTACTGAATAACTTTTCGAGAGTAGACATCGTAAGGAAAACGGCGTCGGTTAGAACATAGCAACGCGAAACTTATCCGATTATCTGCTCCTCTCGGACGCGCGTCAGTATTTTGTTACGTACTTACGTTCATATCCGTTAGATTATCACACGAGAACGGCTATTCGACCACACGCACTTTCTTTCCTTTTCTGCCGGAACTCCCATATGAATGACAACTTCTTTCAATTTCCTGCACAAATAACCATTCCGTTTTTCAATATATACGTATAGTTTTAATACAGCTGACATTTTTAATTGAAACATTTCAACTTAATAATAAATTATATAATGTATATACACTTTAAACGATCTCTCTATAATTTGCGGAACAGAATTCAGAATAAAATTCTATCTATAATCTTGTATGTCATGTAACAGAACACATGTAAAAAATCCGACACTCTACATATATGCAAAATACATAGTATAATACACATACATAATAGAATACATATAGAATTATAAATAGTATCTGTCAGAAAAAGTTATAAGTAATGAATTTTTTGTCACAAATTGTAGATTGTTTAAAATGGGCTTTAAAATATATCTATGCATCGTTTAAATATTAAAAAGGGATTATTAAATTAAAAAATATCTTTGCATTATTCGGAAATATTGGAATTCTCAAAAAGCTTCCCATTATCTATATTACTGATTCCGTTCACAGAAACAAATCAGGAAATTCCTTACACATCAAGTCAACAAACGAATCACGTCCAATTTGGCCCAATCAGCATCAAACACAGGGTACCGAGATACGAGTCGTACAACTACATTCGCAACGGAGGTATGATTCTAAAGAGAACATGATACCATGGTGATGGTGGTGATGTCTACAAAGAGCAAATATTATGGTAAGCAAAACTTTGTTGGTGAGATCACTTTTTTCGAGACTATCAGCTACAACATCGTTAATGAAATTACTGCATTTAAAAAAATGCTTTAAATCTCGAAAAAATCTTTAAGTCTCGAAAAGAATGGCTTTGACAAAAAAGTTTTGTCGACTATAATTATTTGCAAATAATATTTTTCTTATACGTTCCCCGGTATCATTAAAAACAATAGAGATGATCAAGTTATGGGATTCACTCTTCGTATATATTAAAATATACAGTAAATATGAATGTAGAGATAAAAAGAATTCTATCGCGCTAAGTATATGAAATAGATTTTATATTTAAAAATTTGTATCTATAACGCTTCCAAGATTTGAGATAATAATGGATTGGAAATAAGAACGAATAAAAAAAATTAGCTTTATTACTTATTAAAGTTTATTAAAGATGATATTTTTATCAAAATTATTATGCGAAAAGATTTATCGCATGAGTTGGATGCGCACAGCGCGAATGCTGGAAGATTGGCGGAAATGACATGTGATTTTTTAGTTTCTGTTGAATCTTTGGTGTTGCGCGATCACACGATGGTTATGTTGTAAGCGCAAAGTCGGCCAAATGTTTTCGTAGCTGATGGCCTTTTAGAATTCCCTCTTCTGTCACCGTTCGCCACGTGCTGTCATCCCACGGTTCTCCTCCCCAATAATCCAGTCCTCCGCCCATGGCGCCATCATGTAGCAGCCTATTCGCGTTTTAGCTTTTAATTAATTTTCGATTCTGTGCCTGACTGTACCCCGCCTTCCATTGTCTTCTCCATCCGCTACGTTTCGTCTCTATGAATATCAAAGTAGTCGTCCGATACTGCGACAAGCTTACTATTTTACGGCACTTCTTGATACTCTCCGTCTTTTTCGTTTTTTTTTTTTTTTTTTTTTTTTTTTTTGTTTTTCAAGAAAACCTGTTTATATTATTGTCAACTCGAAAATTATTGATTCCACAATATTTTTGTTCAGGATGGATTAATTTCACTAAATTAATTTGAATTAAAAAATCCATAAGTTTGGTTTAATGAACATTTATTAATTTTATGAGAATACTCCACAAATAAATAAATACGTGTATCTTTTAATATGTACTTATTTTATACATATATATGTGTATTGACACGTCTAAAGTATAAGTGTTTTTCTAATGTCACAATACCTATGATTTCTGACTCTATACTGTATATATATTTCTGATTTTAAGAATCCCTAGCGCGTTTTATCGCATCATTAACGATCACATTTCATCGCCATTTATAAAATTTTTATTTTAAATAGATATTTTTCTTTATTTAATAATTTTCTGAAATGATTGTGTTATAAGAAAATTAAATTCATGATGAGATATATTTTCTCGTCAGTCATGGAAGTATAACTCTTTGTCAGCTCTGCGGTTTAACGATCGACCTGCGCAAAACCACGAGAGAATATAACGTTGAGTTACACAGTGTCTACTTCAAACAACTGTTTCTTTTTTCTTTCAAACCAACGTGATTTGACAAAACTGCGGTAAAATCGCGTTTAAAGGATGGTGCGGAAACTTTGCATGTCGACACCGGTGCGTTGTTTGTTATTCAGTCGACCGTGCATGTAATTATGATTAATTACCGTCAGTTCCTCTGGCATATCAGTGATATGTTGCATCCGAGATAAATTCCCAGTGCCGTATTTCAGCAATAACGGGCTTCCCGACGTTATCTGAATCGGACATGTACATTTATTTGTATAATTTACCGTAAGCTCTTTCCCGCGCGAAAGTCTAGATATACGCCGAGGGGTAATAAGTCAACGTAATAACATGTCAACAAACGTCATTAATTATTTTCGCATCATTGCGTACTTTATCGCGCACTGTTCAATTACGCATTTCAATTAAATGTAATCATAATAGATTCTCTTTTTAATAGATAATTTAATAGATTTATGAGATTCTCTTTTTTTCTCAGATTCCATATATTCATAAGATAAAAACAGGAAGAAAAGAAATTTATTTAATTAGCCAAAATCAGCGGTCAATATTTTTTTCGTAGCTATTCTTGAAAATCTATATATTCTAAGAATTCCTTTAATGCTTGAATGGCAAAATATTGTGAGCGTAAAATCTTACAATATATAAATAATTTACAAACATATAAATAATTTGCGCAGATACTCTCTTTACGACGAGAAAAAATTATACTCTTGCGTCTGAAGTCACGGACGCATGCGAGAGCACTGACGGATTGCGCTATCGGATTGTGTGTGAGAGAGATCACTGTGAAATTCTGTTAGTGGTCCATTGACTTACGCGGATCTCGACGAAACGGTGAAACGCGGCGGGCGCGGAAGAATCCAATAAACGCAAAACGAATTTGCTATTAGGGTCGCGTCTGATCTCATTGCAGGCCAATGAGGCGGAGCAACCCTTATATCAACCCTCCCGGTATCGCGTCTCGCTGACGATAATAAATCGAATCATACTCCGGGAGTCAGCGGGTGTTTGCCAAGCCATTAGGGTCGCTTAGCTAACTGTCTCTTCTCGAAGCCCCAGATACGGTTGTCAAGATTTTTCGTTCGCGCATTTAAATCGATCGAAATGCTCGCGACTCGAATTGTAAATCATTGTCGTTCTCATATGTAATCTAATAATTTTTAATTATTGTAAGAATTAATTTTAATGCAAAATAAAATGCACGATAAATATAATATATGTATATTGGGGACACAAATATTTCAATCTTTATTATGATCTTAAATATAAGAGAGCGATAGAGATATATTTGTTCGATCGCGAGAATCTGAAATTCGTTTTTATTTAGTTAGCTTTGACAATATCGCGCTTAAAATCTTTATGCGTCGGATAAAAACGTACAAAGTGTGACGAACTTATTCTCGTAACACTCTCTGTATGTCAAGGAAGCGAGCGCGAAGTGTCATAATCGGACAGCCATTGTTTCAGTTATGGAGAAGTGCCCGGCTTTGACTGGGCCGATGGCAAAGGCCATCGTTAACGGTAGCACTGACGCCCACTCGACAATCAGAACATTCTCTTAGAGAGCCATTCTCCTTCTACCATTATGGCAGCAGCGAACACAGTGACTATAGACGCGAAATGAAATTCGTTTTTATTTAGTTAGCTTTGACAATATCGCGCTTAAAATCTTTATGCGTCGGATAAAACGTGCAAAGTGTGACGAACTTATTCTCGGAACACTCTCTGTATGTCAAGGAAGCGAGCGCGAAGTGTCATAATCGGACAGCCATTGTTTCAGTTATGGAGAAGTGCCCGGCTTTGACTGGGCCGATGGCAAAGGCCATCGTTAACGGTAGCACTGACGCCCACTCGACAATCAGAACATTCTCTTAGAGAGCCATTCTCCTTCTACCATTATGGCAGCAGCGAACACAGTGACTATAGACGCGAAAAGACTTTCAATCAAATGGGATTTGTTCAATGGATAATTCAATACGTGTAAAGGCACCGCACATATAGTATATGAATTTAAATATATACACATAATAAATATTGGCTTAATATAATTGTGACATTTAAGTGAATGTGACATGTTCTAGAATGCTAGAATGCTATATAATATTGATATTTATCACTTATTAATGTCTTGACGTTATCTACCAACTGTCATCCACATAATAAGTGATAACCTTATACGAAAGAGAAAAGCCTTAATTAAAATATTGCGTTTTTAATTGGAATTTCGAACACAGGAACCATAGAGAGAAATCATTAGAAGGAAAGAGAAGGAAAATTTTTGATTTTATCAAGAAAAACATATCATATTTTGTTCCCTAAATATCGCGCATTAGCCCTTATTAGCTCGTTCTCCTGTTTTGTATATTGCATCTTCTTTCCATTCATTTCTTATAAACTAAAAACTCACATATTATAAAATTTCTTTAAATTTTACCGATAGTCTTTTTGTGTGTCCACGAAAAGAGATATAAAAAAAACATAATTTTCAAAACCTTTATCTTTATCTCTTATTTATTTATATATATAATTATTATCATCCCATCGAAATCAGGCAAATTTTATTTTCTTTTTCAAATATTATCAATGATAGACAAAGCTATATATTATCCCAAGAACGATTGTTTTACTCGAGAATGTCGATATATGTGTTTATAATAATCAATGGCAGATTCGTGCCGAGGGTGGCGAGATATGTATCATAGATCGAGCGATCGCGGGTGTGTCGCGTCCGTCACACGAAGCGATGGCGGTAATTCCGACCACCGTGGAGTTTGTACATTGTGAGCTCGACGCAATCTATTCCGAGGATCTACTACGGTGCCATACTGGTAGCCCACTCGACCAGTTCGTTAGCCAATCACACAAGTATCGTCGTTCGTCGTCGTCCCGGGCTCTCTACTCGAACCCGAGAAGAGCAGCCGCGAGAGATGCGACTGATACGACGCTGCTTCCTCCTTCTGGACCGCTCCTTCCTTCGAAGCTTCGGTTGCTTTGCAGTCGTCGCTCCCATTGGTCTGCCGTTTGCGTCGAAACGCATTCGATCAAGCCTCGAGTTACATTAATTTGACCGTTGACATATGTTTGGCGTCTAATTTTTTTATCGTAAAACTTGTAATTTTTTTTTTTTTTTTTTATATTTTTTTTTTTTTTTGAAATCAAAAAATATTTACTAATAACTATAGCATGTACCTGAAACATATATGCTTTATATTTTATATTAATCCGAAAGAGTTTGCTGCATTTACATTTACATTTATCTCTCTTTAAAAAAAATGTATTTATATTTATGCTTACCCTTCGAAGCTTCGGTTGCTTTGCAGTCGTCGCTCCCATTGGTCTGCCGTTTGCGTCGAAACGCATTGACCGTTGACATATGTTTGGCGTCTAACTTTTTTATCGTAAAACTTGTAATTTTTTTTTTTTTTCTTGATAATTATATATTCGTATGAAAATTCTGTATGAACAGATACGATATAATAGAAAATTTTTCTTGATCTGTGCTTTTGCACACCTCTATCGTGCTAAATGTGGAATATATGTTAATGTTATAGTTGCTGTACACACATACACAGCTAGTTAATTGAATTTTTTTTAAATAATCGAATTTATTCTCTCTAAATGCATTGTTTTCCATCGTAATATTATTGTCACATGTTTAAACGTCATACAAATTATTTTGAGAGTCGTATTTTTTTCGCGGTATGTTTATGTACATTTTCAGTTTGCGACTTTAAAAATTACTGTATTGTCTTTTTAATCTTTTTCGTCATCTCTTTTTCTACTGACACAAATTCTGTCCTTTTTATGTTACGGTAGTCTTTTTCTTTGTCGTGTCCTGAGTTGAGTAGAACGTTGAAGCATGGCGGATAAGAGGAATGGAAAAGGAAAAAGAGAAAGCATCGAACGTCTCGTAAACAGCTGCCTCGCGTGTCTACCTGAGTCTTAATCGATAACGAATGACGATTACAGACATATACTTCGCAAAAGGCAGAGCTTTGCCAATCTCTCGTGAATGACCCTATTATTTCTCTTATTAACTCGTATGATAGTCAGTCATTCGCGACTGTAAAATCCTTGTCTTGAAAAAACTCGTGAGTTGTGGAGGCCTATAAAGATTAGAAGACACTTCGATCAAGTATATTCCGAGAGCCACAATTTTTTTTTTCTTTTATTAATGTCGCGAATTCTCCGAGTAAAACGACAATTCGAAAATTCGGTATATAAAATATTGTACTTCGTGGTCGATGGCCCGGCGATTCCCCCCCGTCATGAAATTCCACCATTCCGCCTCTGCGACTTTACGATCCGGCTTCCAACCCGGAGACACTGGCGAGGCGCAGTTTTCCAGGCGCTCTCTTTTTATTGGTTAGCGACACGAGGATACCACCGTGTATATTCGCCGGTGTGCTCGCCGAGTGAGAGCCCGGTATCGTCATTTTCAGCGGCAGCTGGGAGCGAACCGCGACTTCGGTCCTCCTGGATGCTCGTGTATTCCGGGGTGTACTCCCTCCCTCCCTCCCCGTGCTTCCCCCCTCGTCGGCACCCCCGTGACCCCCTCATAAGCGGATTACGTGGGTCCCGAAACGAGCCAAGCGAGGCTCGATGGCACGAGGAAGGTAGCGTGGGGTGGGTCGTTGAGGGGCGACGGAGGAGAGAAGGGAGCTGTTCAAAATTACGCTATCGCGGCCTCGCAACGCTCACACCCCTCCACGTCCGATCTCCCTTTGCCGCGCGGCAACAACCCCCGTCTTCGTGAGACATCGACGTTCGAAGGCGTTCCATATTTGAAGACATCGTCATCGATGGCGCGATTGGTGAACGTATTGAGGTATCTTCGATATCTATTCGCGATAGTGGGATGGTTCTTTGACAGTTATATTCTTCATTTCTCCTCAAATATCTATATTTTATTATATACGCTCTACGAATCTCGAAATTGAAATTTCGTGACGGTGGAACAAGAAAAGAGAAAGAGAGAGAGAAAACGAAATTCACGAAGAAAGAAGAAAGATAGTTTATGAGCGTGCTGAGTGTCTCTCAAATCGCGTGAAAATTTCGACAAAAAATATATATATATATGAGAGAGAGAGAGAGAAAGAAAGTTTCTCCTTTTAATCGTCTCGTTTATAGTATCGTATACCATTTAAAGCGGATATTATCTCGAAGTTTCTTAACGAAAACATGCTTTTACACGCGTTAAAGCGTTTTAAGGTCATTTAAATAATAGCTATCGCATTTTATGCAGAAATTTAAAACGGCTTTCATCTCGCGCTGTGAAAATATCTAGCGATTTAATGAACTGAAATCGATCCAATGATCGAGTCTATAAGCGAATCCTTTAATTATCCCTTGCAATACGTTACGGAGCACTTTTAAGAGTGCCCGTAACGCAACGAATTAAAATTTCTTATCAGATTTACGAGAATTAACAACGAACGCTTTCTTTCCTCATGTTGCAGGAATGAATCAACGCAAACAACGTCGCGAGAGGACGACCTTCACCAGAGCTCAACTGGACGTGTTGGAGGGGCTATTCACGAAAACGAGATATCCGGACATCTTTATGCGAGAGGAGGTTGCTCTTAAAATCAACCTGCCAGAGTCGCGAGTCCAGGTAATTATTTTATGTTTCTTTTCTCTCTCTTTCTTTCTCTCTGCTTGCAAATTTTATCCCTTCTGGAATATCGCTGTCAACGATGTTGAAATAATAACAGAGGTAAACAGAAAGCTCCTATACGAACTTTCGGTGAGTAAATCACGCTCTTCGCAAGTAATCCGAGATTGCATTCATCTGAGATTGATGGAATTTCGCGTGCCGTATATTAACGCGACGTTTAAAGTCATTACATTCTTCGCACGTTGACTATATGATGTAAACGCGGTGATCTTGACGAAAATGAGAGCGAGGAGGAGGAAGAGGAAAGAAAGAGAAAAAGAGGGAGAGAGAGAGAGAGAGAGAAATAGAGAGAGAACGCGCGCTTCGTGCTTCAGCAATCGCGCGCGAGATTTAAGGTATTTACACAGGGCGTTTGCGCTCTTCGCACGATGATGTAAACGCGGTGATCTTGACGAAAATGAGAGCGAGGAGGAGGAAGAGGAAAGAAAGAGAAAAAGAGGGAGAGAGAGAGAGAGAAATAGAGAGAGAACGCGCGCTTCGTGCTTCAGCAATCGCGCGCGAGATTTAAGGTATTTACACAGGGCGTTTGCGCCCTACGTCGTTCCATTTCGTCATTGTCCCAACCCCGCGCCTCGTACATTGATAGATGTGCCGACGAGCTCGTTGACGCTTTTATTGCGGTTCTCATGACATCTTTATTTCGCGGCGGGGCGTTACCAAGTCACGATATCGCAATTCCGAGCTTGTGTCTCGAATTTCAATCACGTTTACCCTATACATTACACATGACACATACGATATTCATATGTCAACGGAAAAATCAGATTATTAATCCGAAAGTTTCGGCGAGTTGAACTTTGCGAATTTAACAGACTTAGATAGTTTTATTATTTATTATTTTATATATATATATTTTATGTATTCTTTTATTTACATATTTTTATTTAAGCTCTCGATTTCCCTTCTAGCTCCGTTTGCGCATTCGTTCGGATCATCGACAATTTGTAAAAGGCCTCGCGGCATCTTTCGTGGCATCTATCGCGATATCGTAACGATATCGCCTCGTCGGAATCGTGAAATATATGAGACAAAAGCGTGAAATTCAGTTCCGGGACGCGGAGTTTCCGCGCAAAGTTAAGCCGCTGTGAATGGCAGCGCAACTGCAAAAGGGTGCATCGCGCACGAAACGCATTCGTGTATGCGTGTGCGTATGTACGTACGTGGGCGTACAGCAAAGGGAATGCGATCGGTATATGCGGGATATGTATACATATAAACTATGCTGTATACACGTGTGCGAGAGAAGCAGCGTATCTACGCGAGCGAATAATGTCTGGAGGAGGGATGCTATCTGAAAGTTTTAAAGGCAGGGGGATTCGCGGTAAAAGACGACGAGGGGCAGCAGGGGGCAGAGATCTGACACAGACCATAGCTGTGCGTACGGATAGAGGTACACATGGCAGCGAGGTACAACATATCGTTGATTTGTTCGTGGATTATAGCCCCTGCGCTACTCCATCTCGCTCGCGAGAGCGTTCTATACGCGCGCTTCTCTTCTCTCGTCGAGAGAACCACGCAGCTGCGTACGACGCGACTGACGCACGATGCAACGCATCTCCGAATGCGTTGCGTTCTCGCCGCATCGTTCATTCGTCACTTATTAATCGAGAATGAATCGAAAAATGTTGGCTCGTCTCTTGATGGAGAAGAACAGTAAGATGGATGAGCGGAGAGGAAAATCAGCCGACGATTATATGTAAATGAAACTATCGTGATATCATCGCTTCTATTGCAAAATTCCGTGATTGGAAATGCGCGACGTTAAATATCTCGAATACAGAATTGCATTCTAGCAATATATTAATATAAAACGAAAGTCGTATATATTTTATACACGTTAGAAATTTGACATTCTATTTTTTTGTATGATAGTAGAATCGAGACTTCATAAAAAGATTTATACATTTATCTTCTGATTATATATATTTGTATAGACAATTTCAAATACTACCATGATATTAAAATATTTTAAAATATACATATATAAAATAAAGAGAGAATATAAAAATAATATAAAAAAGAGGATATAAAAAATAAATATATCTATACTTATTTTTACAATTCGAACGTTTACGAGCACATCGATATTTTTATAACATCGAGCGAACAGAACGCTCATCATTACGTTCGCATTAGCAAACAATAGCCTGTGGCTCTCGCGCGCTGTTTTCTCCATCAATCGTGCGTGCCGGACGATGACACGTTCCCTGGTTTGTCGGAGTGGGGTGTCGTATTAATAGTACAAATAAGAAAATATATTTGTCATAACAGAGTGTCAACGCAGCTGCGCCGCCTCCCTCCCCACTCCCCCTGGCCGGTAGGGTGGTTTTCCGTTCGCTGGATGTAAACCAGATGGTGGCGCAATTTGCACCTCGGTTCTCGCCGACGGTCTCTTGATGTGTACGAGCGTGAAACCGTCGGTGGTTGCCCCCGGGGGTCCTCGGATGCCATCGCGGCCTGTTTGGTTGGTTTTTGGGGTAGCTCTTTCTCTCTCTCTCTCTCTCTCTCTCGCTCTTGCTCTCGCCGCTTTTGAAGGGGGTGTCGTTGTACAAACACGCCGTTATAATGGGATCGTTCTCTGTCCGTCGCGCTAACCTTGACGTAGATCCGTCTTTCTCGCCCTTTCGGAGACTCGTTCCGCCCGCGTTGATATGCAATATCCGCGCACGTCGCGCCCAACAGATTTTCGCACCCTATCGCGCGACGCGGTGGATGACTTTTGCGAAACGAGGTTCTGCCTATCACGATACCACAGAGAAGCAAAAGCCAAATAAACGGAGGACGAGAATAGTTATAGTCTCCGAGCTCGTATACTTTGTGACTTTGGCGCGTCTTGGAAAGATACAAAATTCAGTCGCGTTTAATTGCTATGGATTGACTACTATAAAAAGAAAATAATTTTTAGAACCACATAATAATATAATATAAATTATAAATTAATCATATAATAATATTTTCGTAAATTATAAGAATATCTCTTCGTTATTTTTTTAGATATACTCGTAAAGGAATTTCTTGAATAAAGGAAATTTCTTGAAATAAAGCAATTTCTCAGTAAAATCTCTAATTCCGCCAAGATATATTTTTCTAATATAAATATTATTTGAAACGCGCGTGCGGGAAGATACTTGATATGAGATAAATGGTTAAAGTTTGCATCTATTTCTCAAACATAGTCGAGATAAAAAGCGAAAGGATTGCGCGTGGTTTCTGCTTCGCGAACGGCGTACAAGCACAACCGTGGAGAACGAAATCCCTCGCTATGCTTCGGCGAATCGCTCTCTCCGTAACAACTGTTACAATGCCGCCGATAATAACAACAACGATGACGGGTCCCGCTTTTAAAGGCGCGGGCATAGATTCATAGGATCGCACCCCTGGCCACATTGTGCCCCGACGGGATTATAGGGGGATGCGTGAGGGGGAGTATTACGCGGGACGAAGGAAGAGAAGGGAGGAGGGGCAATCACAACGCACTCGCAAGCTTGCGGCCTACGAGGGGCTGCTTTTTGTATCCCTCTTCCTACCCTTGCTGTCCCTTTTTCAGAGAGAAAAACCTACGTGTGCATGTGTGCGCATCTTTTGGATAGCCGTGTATGCGTGTGTTGTGTATGCGTGTTCGCACGTACTCTTCGTGTTTATAGCCATAATGTACAGCTACGAGGAAGCCTATGCGTGTATGGCGTATTCACGCACGGGAGATACTCGCACAGGCGGAACCAACTATTCGATCTCTCGGGGTGAAAACAACCCTACGAGACGAGCTCTGATTCGCGCATGCGTGCCGACGAACACCGTAGCCACCGTAGCCACCGAGGATCCCAGGGGATGCTCCAATACATGCGTGTCGCGCCCGTACGCGCTCGTGCCCCCCGTACAGCCCCTCCCTCCAAGTTCTTGTTATTGTTGCGATTTAATGAAATGTTACGCCCGCTCGCCCGCGATTACTTTCCCATTGCACCGATTAACTCCCCATTCGACCGGTCTCGTCTCTCGTGGCGAGACAGTGGGACACCTTTCCTCCCTGACAATCCCTGCGGCTACGGCTTCCATCGAAGACTTTTGTACCTCATTGAAAGCTGCCGATCGTACGATGCCTATCTGAGAGAGCTTAATTGATTTCTAGGTCGCATTATGTACTTTTGCATACCGCGAAATAATAATAACATTGTCTTAAAGATGCATCATACGGATACAGTCAAAATGAAAGAATATCGTGTTTTTTTTTTTTCACCGACAGATCTATCGTCAAACATTCCGCAAGCTCACAGCGTCCGCGCCGCATCTCTCTGTTCCAGGTTTGGTTCAAGAATCGTCGAGCCAAATGCAGACAGCAAATGCAACAACAATCGCAACAGCATCAGCAGCAGCAACAACAGCAGACTCCTCCGTCAAAGAGTTCGCCGAGAACGAGTCAGAATCACAGCAACAGCAGCACTGGTAGCAGGATATCGACGAGCTCTTCGACAACCCCGAGCAGACGATCTTCCCCGGATTCACCGGCGCAGGGCAGGGAGGCACCGGTAGCAGGAAACTCGCCCTTGTCGACGCCGCTTCTGTCGACGCAGTCGACGTATCCGCGAGTCGGCGCGACACCGACCGGCGGCAGCGGTGCCAACAGCAACCTGACGACTCCGTCACCGCCGCTGACGCCGAGCTCCAACCAACTGCAACCGTCATCCTATCCGGCTGCGATGAATCAAATTCATCATGGCGAGGCCTACGGTTTCACCTGGAGCTCGGCGGGGCCCGCGGTGAACCATAGCCAGTACGCCGGCCAGGGCTACAACGCCTACGCCCAGGCACCATACGCCAGCAGCGATTACTATCAGGCCCAGATCCCCCACATGCACCACAGCCCGCAGGCCAACTACCATCATCCGCAGTATCATCCCAATATGGCGCTCACCTCGTCTATGTCGCACCTGTCTATGTCGACCAGTCACCATCTGAATCCAGTAACCAGTCAGTCTCAGGCCGCTAGCAACGATATTGCGGCCGCCGCTGTTGCCGCCGCGTCGGGCGACGAGACGTCCGGTTACGTTTTGCCCGAGCAGAAGTACCCATCGTTAGTATAGCGGTCCGGCAGGTCCTCCGGGATCTTCCAGCGGAACCAGGAGACCGCGAGCGTGTCCGGCTCCTCGATGCCCTACCACTGGCGACTGAATACGGCGATCTGTCATGAGATCAACGGCAATCTCGACTCCGATGACAATTGATTGTGCGGAAAAGAAAGAGAGAAAAAGGAAGCTTCGCCAACGCGTCGATAGACGCACTCCAGATTCGATGAGTATGATAATTAAGAATCGAATAATATTTGAATCGTTTTACACGATGCTCTGCATCCGGAAACGCAATGATAGATGTTGGTTAAATATGTCAATCATCCACGCGTATTTCGCTTATACAGAGTTTTCGCAATCAAACGTATTCCATGTATGAACATTAATATAAAGGCAGAAATAATTACATGACATCAATCTCTCGATTATTTATTGTCAACTGATAGTTGACTCGCGCAAGATGTTTGCCGTATCTTAAACACGGTATCATAAATGTTTTTTTATACGTAGTAACTGCTAGCTGCAACGCTCAATGCAGCAAGTCAGATTATTATTATCGGCTGCTCCAGATCACATAGCAAATAAATTGCTATTTGCTTATACTTTGCATGGAGTTTTTCTCGATATCTCTGGTGTACGGGAATATCTCCCGAGGCAAACGATCGTCGAATGACAACAAAACCGCGAATAAAGTCGTAAATTAGATAATTATTTGATAATTGCTACCAATAATTACCAGTAATTGTCAATAATGTTTAAGTATCGTAAACTAGATTTTTTGTTTCACGTTTGTGATGCGCTGTTTCGTGGTTTTGTCTCTTGGTAATTGTTTGCCACTTTTCCTTTATATATTTTATTCTGATGTACCTCCTTTCTAAATTTTTTTTCTCTTTTTTTCACCATTGAATAAATTAATTACATGTATTCAATAGCTGATTTGATTTTTACTTACGGACGTTTAAAATGCTTTGAAAGTTTCATTGCATTTCTTTTTTTTATTATTAATACAATTAAAATCGTATAATTACATAAATTATAATAGAGTAAAACAAAAAACAAGAATTGCATGAATTACAATAATTCTCTTCCCGCTGTTTTTCTTTGTTAACGCTTCGGAGAAAATGAAAAGAAGGTGATAAGGTACAATATCATCTTGCTTCAAAGCGTTATTATGTGAAATATCAAAAAAATTTGTAAATAAGGATGGAAGTAAAATACGATCAATCATCATCATCATTTGATCATGAATCATTTGTCGATTTTTCGGATTGACATTGACTTTCTGAGGAATAATCCGCAAAACTTAGAAAAACAATAATATAAATGTAAATAATATAATTGATACACGCGTATTAATATGATATTATTTTAATTTAGCATTATTTTAAATAGTAATTTCAAAGCATCTTTTATAAAACAACATAAGTAAAATTGAAAACAAAAAAAGCACATTCTTCAGCATATCCTTCTTATGACAATGATACATCTACAAAACGCATTTACACGATTTTTTTTATGTACATTCTTTTTAACATAAATTGTTTTTCGTAATTATTTTACATGTATAAAAGTATCGAAATATGATTATTGAAAAATCAATAATTTGCAAAATATTTTATATTTTTATTCTGACAGATATTTTGTCATAAAATATGAAATATTTCATCAAGTACTTTTCGATTATCATATATCTTACTTATTTTTATACAAAATGAAATTAATTGGAATTGATGTACAAAGATATAATAGCATAAAAAATGTAATTGCACATTGCAGGTGTATCTGCAAAATAGAAATGTTATCGATTATTTTCTCTAGATGTATTTCATTGCACATGGAAAGAAACTTTATATTAATGATGTTTATTGTTAATTATCATATAATTCATTAATTTTTTTATAATTCTTTTCTATCTTCAACTGATAATCGAAATCATATTATCAGAAAAAATATTGCTGGTATGAATAGCCTGTTATTCGTCTTGTATAAGAAGATATGTAGAATGTTCCGATAAATGAGAAATAATACATTTTGTTTTATTATTGAATTATTATTTGTTAGATAAATTTTTTGGAAAAGCGAAAATATGGATCTTCCCTTTTAACCACGATTTTAAATTTCTGAAAGGGTACGTTTTATGTTTGATAATCACATTGATATATCAAACATTATTTTATTTTGATTTCGTTTTTTTAATTATTAATAACAAAGTATATAAATATTCTCATCATTGATATGTAAATATCATTGACTGGCACAAAAGTAATCTTCGATTTTTTCTCTTTTTTTATTTTCTGATTATGATATTGCTAAATCCATTTTTACTCCATGTTTTTTGAAACATCCTCTCGGGTAAAAAAAATCAGAGCCAAACATACAATACATTTAAACTATATTTTTAAAATATTAAAGCCATTCTCTAATAAATAATCGTATTAATATTCATATACAAATATTTTTTTATAATATTTCAGCGACATTCTTCAACAAAAGACTTCAAAAATTTATTATATTATACTATAATATTAGTAATAATAAGAAAAACATTCACGCGTCGTTACAATTTTAAAAATTGAATACAGGCAATCGGCAAAACATTAATTCGCAATGATCGAAAAGTGATTTTTAGCAAATTGCATATTTCCAAGTTTTGCGTGACTCGTCCGTTTTCATATTTTCGTTACAAATCCGTCGAAAATGAAATACATATTAGCAATTCATATTTATGATATAAATGTTGGATTTAAGTTGTGAATGCTGGATTTAAATGTCTGAATTCAAATTTTATTTAAATAATGAATACTTTAAACAAATATTTTATATATTTGAAGACGATAAGTGTATTTTTATCAATAGATGTGAATTTTGAATGTAAAACTTAATAATCGACTGATGTCAGTCTATCGGAAGATCGTATTTTATTTCAAAGAAGAAAAAATGATATTGAAAAAAGATAAGAGAGAGGGTTTTCCTTTGTAAATTAGAGCGAATGAATATCTTTCAAATTCTCCATAAGAAGCCTGTACCAGAATTTGTTTTAAGATCTAATCTATATGATATCCCTTGTATTTTCAAGGTTAAAAGACGAGTACTCATCACTGCCGTCTTTATCATTGGTATTATCTTTATTATTACGATTAACATTGTATAGATAATTATCCATATCAAACACGGTCAGTAGCCGGAAGACTTGTAAATAGAGAAGAAAATATGATCTCGTAAATAAGAGAGAGAGAGAGAAAGAGAAGAGAAATAAAAACAGATTCGGAGTTCTATTAAAAAATGACGAATACTGAATAACTTCCGAGTATAAAGTGAGAATTGCCTCGTCAGAGAGAATCTTGTTATATAGTCGTTCCTTTTTATGGTACTCTTTGTCTGCTCGAGGGACGTAAACTTCGTAAAAGTTTGCGCCGCGCTTTTTTCAGGCAGAAACTTAATTATCGTAATATTTTTTCTGAAGAGAGAGAGAGAGAGAGAGAGAGTGAGAGAGAGAGAGAGTGAGAAAGAGAGAAAGAGAAAAGTATATACGCGAGAAAATGCCTACTTAATCTCATGAGTGTATATTTCGTGTATACTACCTAATGTATATTATCCCTTAAAGCTTAGAGGATATATAATTAAAGAATAAATATATCATTAAGATTAAAAAAAAATGATAGGAAGATGATAAAATACCGTAATAGATATTATGATGCACGTAGACCTAAGCTACTTTGTAATAATACGATGCAAATGTGTACATAAAACGTATATATCTCTTGTAAGATACATGATTGTTCTATCATGTGCGAAGAGGATCTTCCTACATCAGAAAAAAAAAATATCGCATATTATTAATAAGCAGTCTCGATTACTTTCCCGTTCTTTTCCGATGTACACCGATCTCCCTAGTCCTCTCGAAAGATATCCATCAATAGAGCGAACTGCGCGATCGTTTCAAATCGAAATTTTATCGCTTCTCTCGCATACGTGCTCCGATGCGCGGGGATTACGTTTCGAGCTGTATCTGCGACAGAATTCCCAGCACGCAATACGCAATCCCTCTCTCCATTTTGTCCTGGCAGCTTTATAGATCGCGAGCGCGGTTCTTATTAATCACATTGATGTTCGCAAGACCCTACCGCCGCGGGCAGCAATTCTGCTAATGCACTTGAAATTAATTAACGTCAAAGCGACCGCGTTTCGTTATTTGAGCGACCGCGTATATATCGATCTCGAACCATTAAGCGTATATTAATTACAAACTCGCGGTCGCGCGCTCGCCGTAATCGCGATGCAATGTCGCCATTACCTGCGCGCACTCCCAAGTGTCTAATTTTTCTCACACGTGAAACACCTGCGAGGGATGCATCATGGAATTGATAAAGGCAATTATCTCCTGTTTAATTTTCAAAATAAAGGCATCTAAAACGCAGTCATAGCATCTCTAAATATAAAATATACATTACATGATTACAGCTACATTACGTGATTAATTTTGTTATTTAAGTGAAACTATAAAAAATGGGAATACTATTTTATTTAATGATTATAATGAGATTAACGATTAAGATACAGAGGTAACGAAGTATATTCATTAACGCGTGGAAAGGCGCAGACAAAAAAAAACAGACGTAACGGGTCGATCGTGATCTTAATAGCTAAACTTGTCTCGTAATCAATAACGGTCCATTAGAAGATCACAGGTGTACGGATTCTGCGGTAGATACGCATACGCGCACTAAAAACGATGATGCGGATGATGAGAGGATATGCGTGTGTCTCTGTGTACCAATAGTGTATTTCTAAATGGCCTAAACATCACAACAAAGGACCCCATGCAGGCATGAAGGAAAGCGAGCGCCGCCCTATGCCCTGCTAATTGGACAGATCGCGTACCTGTCCACCTTTTGACGACGTAATCCGGCATCCTTTCTAACTCATCAAATTAACGAGCTATAACGAATTGTCCGTTGCCCGCGCGCACTTTGATGACCCTTTCGCATAATCGGGGCACAAATCCCCCCTCGCGCGCGCGACTTTCTCTTTAAAGAGGATATGGACCTCATGAAAGACACACTCAAAAGTATTAGTCGATTTAAGCTTCGTACTGGATTTGCGTCATTCGACGCTCGTTTAAGCAGTCTTGATGACAGCCGGATCGTATCTTACATCATAACGATAAATGATGGCATCGCGAAAAAATAATCATATACGAAAGCTTTTGCAATCTATTTTATTAATTCACGAAAGACGGAAGAGAAAGGTAACCGAATAGTTCTAATAATATACGCCTGTTCAATTACTTGCTTTTTTCAGAAATAGATTGTATACGTAAAAAGAAAAGAAGAATAGAGGGAGCAGAGATTGGTATACTAAGTTTACAAATCATATTACGAAAATCAGGAGAAAAACGTCAAAAAAGATTTATAAATAACAAAACCTTGAAACAAGTCGCGCAGGCGCGCACGGAAGCGTCGGAACCGTATTCACAAAGGTAGCGCCGCCGCCAACGCTTTGAGAAATATTTTTTTGGGAAAGAAAGAAGCGATAATGCTTTCCGATACAGGTATTGCCGATTCCTTGCCGCATTGCAAGGAACGTCGGCGTGTCAACAATCACTTCCATTCTTGCGACGAAGACAATGGCCTTGAACTTGGCCGAGTGTCGCGGCGAAGAGTTAAAATCGGCTTGCGTTTAGCCGGATCCCATTATAACAACTACGGCGGAGCCGACGGTAAGCTTCATGCCTCGATTCCGCTCACTGTGTCACCGGGCTAAGCCCCGACTTACCTACCTACATCCTCGCAAACGGTTCTCTTACCCCTTTTCCTCGGCAGTAGCCTCCCTGTCTCTCTCTCTCTCTCTCTCTCTCTCTCTCTCTCTATGCCGGATTAATACTTGCATTATTTCCTTTCCTCTTCGCCGTGTATCCAAAACTTGGTTCTAAAGTGAACGGCACCAGTGACCTGTCTTCCCCGACGAGAAGATCAGAAGGCGGCTTGTTCGCCGTCGATGGATAATTTGGACGATTCGACGAATTGGTCAGCGGGTTACCGGAAAGCGACCCTGATAATCTCTACGAGAACGCCGCTTTCTCAACGTGATGTCAACGCTAGCAATTGCGGGGGAAACGGACAGAATCCACACATTTATGACAAAATACGTGAGAGGGACTTATCATTTTATGTATATATAAATTTAATTTAAAATACAGTCTTTTTCTTTTTTTTTATATTTAGCAGAGATATAAAATTTTTAAGACTACTGAAAATAAATTTGTAAATTGTCTGCGCACCCCCATTCCCATAATTTATTGAATCTAAGAAAAATATAAAAAAAGCTGTATAGTTTGCTATTTATTTATTATTCGTATATCTTTATAAAACATCGAACGTTAACGTTTCCGTGTATTTAAAGCATGTCGTAAGAGGATTGATTATAAAACGCGATTTACGAGCGATATATCTCCATTCGTTTAACCTATATTTTATGTTTTTCCTCCCGCCGATGGGTCACAGGTGAAAATGAGTTTCGCGGGAAGGGTTTGTATGTTTACATGCATTACATTTTTCACCTGCGTCCTGTTCGGCACAGTTAGCGGCTTGACATACGCGGAATAAATCATAAATTATAGACGCACTCGCCGTGAAAAGTCTCTATGTTAAATCGCCGCTGAACTCTATCTGCAGATTCCTCATATTTCTCTCAATCGCGTGAACAATTTCCACGAGCAAACAGTATAAATAATGAAACGTCGCAGCGCGCACTGACTTTATAATTCGGCGGTTAAATAATTAAATTGCACCACGGGTGCGGGCGCGATTATTCCGCGACTTATTATATATTTCCGCGCGGAAAATTAACGGCAGCTGCCATACGGAAGATTAATTTATGCCAGAGAAGAGATGGAAAAAAAAAGGAGAAGGTGTGCGGCAGAAAAATGGAAAGAGAGGAGGAATTACAGGCAAGATGAAGAGAATAAAGAACGGATAAAATTTTCACGCAATCTCGGAGATTCGTAAAGTCCAGAAGGGAATTCTTTCTCGATTGGCAATATCTCTAACGAGAAGAAGGGACCATTGAGACGTGGAGAGGAAGGAATGAGTATGAACTAGAGTGGCAGAGGATGGCGAGAGGCAGAGAGGGAAGGGAGAGAAGAGGGGGGTACAAATCGGCAGGATCAAAGAGGCCAGCTCGTGCAGCCGTAACTAGATTTCCCGTTCCCACTTTGAGGATCGCTTAATGCTCTATAAGCGGCAGTTTTAAACTGGAGAAAATCAAATCAGTAAGGAATCGGGATCGCGTCGCGCAGCAAATTCAATTGAAAAAGTCGCTAGTCAGTGCGCATCGCGACGTTGGCGAGAACGCGTTCTTGCCCGTACCCTTTGATCTTTCTCTTTCGCCCTTCGTATTCTCTCGTACTTCCGCACGATCGGCTCGGACAGCAATTTTTGCGGCAAACTCGATAGTGGATCCGTGTCGTTGTCCGCTAATAAGAAACGAGCGCTGACGACGACTGTTTCGATATGGAGCAACGATATGGGCGAATAGAAAACCGAATGTTGCATGAAATAATATTAATTATAATGTGATATAACAAGGCGCAATCGACCGAATTAATCTTTAAATTGACAAAATTAATTGACAAATATTTCAATCAAGAAAAGATGAATGCACATTAAGAATGAAATATTTCCAGGAACGCTAATAATTTCTTTCTTCTGATCATGAATTTCTAAAATCTGGAATGAGAATCGAAATATAAAATAGTCACTCACGTAGTGCGCGAAGAGGAGAAGTAGCGATTCGAGTTATTAAAAATTCAGCGCCGCCGCGCTTGAAAGAACCTTCGCTCGTCCGTATATTAAATCGCTCAATAATCGACATGGGGCTTCATCGAAGAAGAGCGCGACGGTGCGTCAGCTTCAGCAAAAAAAAAAAAAAAAAAAAAAAAAAAAAAAAAAAAAAAAAATCGTGTTGCGCGCCGTCTCATTTACTCAGCACAATATGTATTATCGACAGGTCTCATCCGGATGGATTAGCGTTCTCGCGAGGCTTCCGGGGCCTCGAAGGATCCTTGCCTCGTCGAAGATGCCTTCGTCGTTGCGCTCGCATACAATTTCGTCCGACGGCAACGGGCGGCATTAACGGGCACCCGCGCAACGAAGGCGAAAATCGATGGCGCACTCGATCGAGAAATCGCGATTCAGGAGCGATTTTTTGCCGGCCTCCCAAGTTCGACCCAATTTCGACCTTAACCGGCGGCCAGGAAGATCAGACGCTCCGCCAGGAAGTCAAGGGGGCGCGAACGCATTGTTGAGCTCCCTCTGTCCAAACATTCGACTCGCCCCGTAAACGATCAACGCATCTATCCTCTGTACCCCCTCTTCCCCGCCACCGCCCTCGCCTTCCGCCACTCTTCCCCGTTCGTTTCCATGGTCCCCCCTCGATCCTTCCGTTGGACGCAGGAAAAGCGTCCACAGGTAATCCTAAAAAATGGACCGTCGGCTTCCGACGTGTACGAGGCTGCGCGTAGGAATTCCTTCGCAGCGGGCAACGCGCTTACACGCACATCGCTGATGCGTAAAGTTGAAAGAACGCATAATTCGCTTTCTGAATATAGAGAGGTGAAAAGCGAGAATGTTCATTGACGAGGTAATCACGCAAATGGCGAACGAAAAGCGCAAGCAGTAATTTTAGCAGCATAACGGATTAATCACGCTTGACATGCGCGCAATATGATGGCTATCGAAATTACGAGTCGTTGATTAACGGTGGAAAATTGCACTGTATATATCATGATTACCATCGCGATAAAACT